TTATTATTGCACGTTAATATGGATAATAGCAAATACATTTATTGAGCACGGAATCGTTTTTTCTTTGCTCAAACGAATTTTTTTTTTTTGCGATTGTTAATTTCTGTTCAAAATATAATGCAATGTGCTTGCAAAATATAGTTCTCTGTGCTCAAAACTTACAATTACTCGCTCAGGAATGAGGCACATATATAACGCCATAATATACCCCTCAGTCTGTCCTCGTATGACAGCTGCATTCCAGAAGAGCCTGTGTACCAGACCTGACAGAGACCGTCTGCCATCCGTTAGCAACTATTATTTTTGTATTTTTACAATGACTGCTTTAAATAACACACAGTCTAAGTTGACCACCAGTGGAAGTAAAATTTTAGAAGCAATTTTTTTGGTGGTTTATTTCAGATTATTATTTGGCTCCATGGGGCTGTTGTGCTTGCATGTTCTTTTGTTTTTTCTTTTTCTTTTGAAATAGTCTCTTCTAATTTAACATTATTTTAGAGGCAATTCTGTTCCTTCTAAGGTCAATGTTACGTTGACCGAACTCAATATCATGTGACTTTGACATGGAAAACCTTACTTGACATCAGATGGCCACACAATGACTTTTAGGTCATCATAAAAGTGGCGTACCATGAATTGCTGTGTACCTTTACAGGTACTTTTTGTTATGTGTATATTAATCCGTGTGATTGTATTAAATGACACCATGTAAAATACAAAAAGAGGGCACCAATTAAAAGCAGTGGGTATGGCTGTGAGCACCACTGAGAAAGGCCCTTCTAAACAGCTTTTAAAGTTTTGACATCAAGTCTGTATAACTGAGAGTTTGGAAGCTCACCAGGCAGGGCCAGCTGGAGTTCACAGAAGATAATCTAGGATCAGACTGTTACATGTTTGTGTTCTGGTTCTGTTTTCCCTGTGCCTGTCATTTGACCCAGTTTCTCAGTTTATTTGATTTAATTATCATTAATCATTCATTTCATTAATCATCCCGTTCAGTTCACCTGTATTCACATTAATTATCTTGTTAGCTCTTTTGGTCGCTCTGTGTATTTAAGCCTTCAGTTTGAGTTAGTTCCCTCTCCGGTATTGTTTGTTTAAATGTGTAGTTTTGACGTTTTCTCCTTTTCATTAAAAAGACTCAAAATAACGTTGTTTTTCTCGACTCAGAATACCGGACTTAAACAGTTTATTATAGCAGCGTGTTTCTTCCCATTTTTCTTTGTTTTCCCCCTTCTATGAACCTGCCAGCTATTCAGCTGCTCTGCCTGGAGCAGGGAGACCGTCCGCTGGAAGACTACATACGGGACTTTCTACAGCTAGCGTGCCAAACGCACTACCCAGCGGTCTAAGGCACACATATTTCAGCAGACGGTCCTAAGGAAAACATTCGTGGAGTGAACAATGACTTGCCTGGCTGAAGACCACACCAGCTCCACTCCACATCCAGAGGCCAGCCACCCACCGACCACGGGCTGCACGATGCTGACGCGAGAGAGCCCACCGCAGACGAAGGAGATCGGCCTGCCGCGATGGACGAGATCCACCTTGGTCAGACATCATCCTGACGGCTCCACCGGGCTCCTTCGTCCCACTGGCTCCTCCTTGGTCAGACATCATCGTGACGGCTCCACCAGGCTCCTTCGTCCCACTGGCTCCTCCTTGGTCAGACATCATCCTGACGGCTCCACCAGGCTCCTTCGTCCCACTGGCTCCTCCTTGGTCAGACATCATCGTGACGGCTCCACCAGGCTCCTTCGTCCCACTGGCTCCACCTTGGTCAGACATCATCGTAACGGCTCCACCAGGCTCCTTCGTCCCACTGGCTCCACCTTGGTCAGACATCATCGTGACGGCTCCACCAGGCTCCTTCGTCCCACTGGCTCCACCTTGGTCAGACATCATCGTGACGGCTCCACCAGGCTCCCTCGTCCCACTGGCTCCTCCTTGGTCAGACATCATCCTGACGGCTCCACCAGGCTCCCTCGTCCCACTGGCTCCACCTTGGTCAGACATCATCCTGACGGCTCCACCAGGCTCCCTCGTCCCACTGGCTCCACCTTGGTCAGACATCATCCTGACGGCTCCACCAGGCTCCCTCGTCCCACTGGCTCCACCTTGGTCAGACATCATCGTGACGGCTCCACCAGGCTCCTTCGTCCCACTGGCTCCTCCTTGGTCAGACATCATCGTGACGGCTCCACCAGGCTCCTTCGTCCCACTGGCTCCACCTTGGTCAGACATCATCGTGACGGCTCCACCAGGCTCCTTCGTCCCACTGGCTCCACCTTGGTCAGACATCATCGTGACGGCTCCACCAGGCTCCTTCGTCCCACTAGCTTCGCCTTGGTCAGACATCATCGTGACGGCTCCACCAGGCTCCCTCGTCCCACTGGCTCCTCCTTGGTCAGACATCATCCTGACGGCTCCACCGGGCTCTCTCGTCCCACTGGTTCCACCTTGGTCAGACATCATCGTGACGGCTCCACCAGGCTCCTTCGTCCCACTGGCTCCACCTTGGTCAGACATCATCGTGACGGCTCCACCAGGCTCCTTCGTCCCACTGGCTCCACCTTGGTCAGACATCATCGTGACGGCTCCACCAGGCTCCTTCGTCCCACTAGCTTCGCCTTGGTCAGACATCATCGTGACGGCTCCACCAGGCTCCTTCGTCCCACTGGCTCCTCCTTGGTCAGACATCATCCTGACGGCTCCACCGGGCTCTCTCGTCCCACTGGTTCCACCTTGGTCAGACATCATCGTGACGGCTCCACCGGGCTCCTTCGACCCACTGGCTCCACCTTGGTCAGACATCATCGTGACGGCTCCACCGGGCTCCTTCAACCCACTGGCTCCACCTTGGTCAGACATCATCGTGACGGCTCCACCGGGCTCCTTCAACCCACTGGCTCCTCCTTGGTCAGACATCATCGTGACAGCTCCACCAGGCTCCTTCGTCCCACTGGCTCCTCCTTGGTCAGACATCATCCTGACGGCTCCACCGGGCTCCTTCGACCCACTGGCTCCACCTTGGTCAGACATCATCGTGACGGCTCCACCAGGCTCCTTCGTCCCACCAGCTTCACCTTGGTCGGATATCATCCTGACGGCTCCACCGGGCTCTCTCTTTCCACTAGCTTCGCCTATGTCAGACATCATCCTGATGGCTCCACCGGGCTCCTTCGACCCACTGACTCCACCTTGGTCAGACATCATCGTGACGGCTCCACCAGGCTCCTTTGTCCCACTGGCTCCTCCTTGGTCAGACATCATCCTGACGGCTCCACCGGGCTCCTTCGACCCACTGGCTCCTCCTTGGTCAGACATCATCGTGACGGCTCCACCAGGCTCCTTCAACCCACTGGCTCCACCTTGGTCAGACATCATCGTGACGGCTCCACCAGGCTCCTTCGTCCCACTGGCTCCTCCTTGATCAGACATCATCCTGACGGCTCCACCGGGCTCCTTCGACCCACTGGCTCCTCCTTGGTCAGACATCATCCTGATGGCTCCACCGGGCTCCTTCGACCCACTGGCTCCTCCTTGGTCAGACATCATCCTGCCTGCACCTTCGGCTCCGTCTACCCCCCGGCTCCGCCTCTGTCCTCAGTCCCACCGGCTCTGCCTTCGTCCTCAGTTCCACCTGCTCCTCCTCTGACGCTCATGGCAGCGGCTCCACCTCAGTCTCCAGTGCCAGCTGTGTCATGTAGGCTCTCCGGTTCATCAGCTTCACCTGGGTCTCTTTTCCATCGGTCGTCTGCCCAGTGTCCACCTTGGCTCCTCCCTCCCTCTACTCCACCCTGGAGCTTCGTCCTGGCTGGTTTCTGGACCTCCATCTGGCTCCTCCTGCTCCTGGCCCCCCTTGGCACCTCCCACCCCCCACTTCCCCATGAACTTAAGTGTTTGACTTGGTTTTGTCTTGCCCCTATCCAGTTCCTCGACCTCCAGAGCCCCCGTCCACTCTCCTCAGTTGAACTGTTTAAGGCGTTGAACTGTTTTTTGGTGTGTTCTCCTTTTTCATTAAAAAGACTCTTTGTTGTTTCTCAACTCGTGCATGTATTACTACACGTCACAGACAAGCTGGACAAATTCAAATACGTTTTCCATCGCAATTTACTAGAAGAAAATGGGGGTAGTTGTTAAACAGGAAAGTTGTCTCAATGTATGTAAAAGACAGTAACTGTAAGTTTTTTAGTTCAAAATCCAATTACACAAAAGCTTGTTTTCTCTTTTACATTAAGATCAGTTTGTCCCCCAAAGCTAAAATTCAATGTTGTCTCATTTTATTTACATGTTTGTTAACAAGTAAACACAGTAAAAAACACTGACATCATTAAGACAAGAGTCACTATATAATGAGGATTTCTTTTTTCTCAGATCAAGAGTATTTTACAGAAATGTCAGATCACATTTATACAGTAGGATATTATAAAAAAAATTTTTTACATACATTATAGTTTCTGTTTGCCAAAACGAGTTTGAGATTTCTGCGGTTTCATTCATTTTTTTAAAAGCCGTTTCAATTTTTCTCAACAACTTTAAATAACCTTTATTGGCCAATAGGCTATTGTTGGGCAAAATTGAAACAGCTTTTAATAAAACTTTTAAATACACACTTTAAAAAATCTGGGTTGTTCAACCCATGTTTTGGTCAAATATGGACAAACCCAACCACTGGTTTAATTTTTTAATTCCATTTCAAACCAAAAAGGTTGAGTCTGTTCATATTTGACCCAAACATGGGTTGAAAGTTGACAGATCGTTTTTTTAGAGTGCAGATATGAAGTGGAAGAATACTTTTTGTTTAGTTTTGACAGAATATCACAGGCCTATTTAATATATTTTCAAATCCCTAACCACTATTTACAGGCTGTTAAGTCCGACGCGACAAATCGCGCTGTCCTTCTTCGCGTCGCATGCGGTGTCGCGGAGGGGAAATCCTCACCCCGCCTCCTGTAATACGATCAGCTGAAGAGCCGACAGAACCCACGCGTCTCTTCACTTACTTCTCCTGCTCCACTTTAATCCGTCCCGTTGAACGCAAGAGACGCGAGCGCGAGGATGCGGCGGATTCCGTCAGGTCGCGGTTGTTCCGCGCTCTCCGCGCTCTGTGGAGTCGCCGTGTGTTTGTGCCTGTGGACGCGCGTGGTCCGGGGTGGGAGCGTCTCGTGCTCGCCGCCCGCGGCGTCGGTACAGGAGCGCGTGCGCCGCTCGGGGGTCGTGTTTGAGGGCAGGCTCCAGGAGGAAGAGTGGCCGGGCAACGCGTCGCGTCAGGTGCGCGTCAGGGTGCAGCAGGTGTGGCGGCTGAAGGCGGGAGGGCTCCTCAAGAACTCGGTGGTGTCGCTCATCTGGTTTGAAGGTGGCAGATGTTTCCAGCTCAACACCGGGATCCGGTACATGTTCTTCATGGAAGCCACTAATGACACGTCCGTGTTCACGCCGGTCTTCCCTCCGCTGGAGACCAAGCGCGCCGTGAGGAAGGACGTGAGTCTAGAGCTCTGTCAGGAGTGCGGTAAGACCCTTATATATACCTGTCAGAAGTGCATATGCGCGGGAGTTTAGTTCATTGACACACAGCAGCAAAACTAAACCGGAACTTTCTTTGCGTTTTGTTTTGTCTTCTGACTGTTGATCTTGATGCTGCTGTGGAGCTCAGGGAAAGTACAGTGATGCTATCAGAATCAGATACACTTCATATTCATTTAAAGCCCATTATAATGCAGCTTGGTTCTGGACTGGACATTTTAAAGTCACATTATTTTGCATAATGATTTTAAATGGACTCTTTTCACATTTCACAAGTTGTCATAGTTGGCTAAATTGAAGGGAAGCTACATTTGACCCAATAGCAAAATAAAAATCAGTAATATAATGCTATTGCTACTGAATGAGACATGATAGTATTTACAGCACACTCCAACATTCTTCAAAGAGTAGGCCTACTGTGGTAATGTCCATTGTAGTGTTGGACAGTGTCAAGTCAAGTCAAGTCATCTTCATTTATATAGCGCTTTTAACAATGAATTGTTTCAAAGCAGCTTTACAGAGATAAACATATAATTTAAGGTAACAGATTGTTTTGGCGTTATAGCGGTTCTTGAAAAATGTTACTTCCAGCTAAAGTTAACTTTGATTGATTCACCTCCGTCGAAATGATCAGACTTTAAACGCGAACCTGTGATTAACGCTGACGGCGTTCACATGCTCATTCAGAATTCTATAGTTATGTGCTTTTTAAAATATGTGCGCAGGTTTGTAATTCATACAACCCAGCCTAAACAAACTACTTTTCTTGCCTATAAATTTTGATACAGAATTTTGTTTTATTTGATCACTTCGGGGTACGCGAGCCGGAATGCGTTTGAACGAAATATTTAGCTATCTGATGATCATTTAACACACTAAGCATACACCCTCTGAAGATCTCAGACTGCTGTCAGGAGGTCTGGTGTGTTTGACAATATTGTATTCAAACTTGTTTGATCAGCCTGACTTGATGGATGGATGCAACTGTTTTTTTCTTTTTTTGGCACTTCAGTTCACAGCTGGACTGTCAGTGCCTTAAATCTGTGTTTTTGGCAGGATTTCTGCAGAGATTATTACCACTAATGTCATCACCAGATTCTGGTGGATTACAGAAATTTCTGCTCAACCCTGTTGCCTCTGTATTAAACCCTAATGATCGAGTGAGGAGACATTACAGGAAGCTTTCGGCTTGGGTTCACCTTGATTAGCTCATGTCACATCATCTGTACTTACAGAACGTGAGGTTGAAAGGTTAGACGAGGTGTTATGAACATTGAGAGGCATCTAAAGTTAAAGATGATTCTTCTACTTCTCATTTGCCTGCTATATGACATATTTTGACTCGTGTCTGCTAGCATGCCTGCCTACAGACAGTGGATTTTGCTTGGTGGTTTAACACAAGGTTCAAGTATGGTTCAGTTTTAGCATAGACTACACAAGTTGTTCTGCCTTTGTATGTTCCCTATACATTTATACTTTCTCTCTTTGTTATGTGCAACAGTCTTGAAGTTCTGGCACTACACATCATAGTGAACCAGTTTGTTTGGGTTATTAATGGTTAGACCAGCAAGATTTGTGATAGAAACTAATGAATATGTATTTTGGCTTTGTGATTGAGCTGCCTTTGTTTGAATGTGGCCAGATGAAATCCTCCAGTATTGCTTCATCGCCTGTGTGCAGCAGTAATGCTGTAAGAAGCTTTGAGATGTTCATGAGCTCAGCGTTGTGTTGTTTTTCTCACTCAAAAATAGTACAATAGATTCAATAAGTTGTTAATCTTGAGTTTTCAGAGACTGCTGCCCTCTGGGAGAAGCTCCTCCACTGCTCTCACTGATGCTGACGCATTACTCTGCTGTCTTTCTGCTGTCTGGCATGACCTAAGAGATCTGTCCCTTTTTTTCCCCGTATTAATATTATGAGAATTTAATGATGAAAATTTGAATAGATTATGGACATCTAGACATCATAAAGATTTAGGTTTTTGAGGAAGAATGAAAAAGCATTTGTCAAATGAATGATGATTTTGACACTTTTTGTAAGTGTTCAGAATCAGATTTTCAAAAAAAAAATCTTTTCAATTTATATAATGGCAATTGAATTGATTTTAAAGGCTTCAACTCCTAAGGGAACTACAAATTCCATTCTTCTGTCAGATAATAACGTTATTCATTTTCTTTATTGAATCTTATTGATTTACAATGGCCTGCAGGAGAAGGTATTACTGAATGGAGTCTGGGTTTAGCCCAAGCAAAGTGCAACGGATAATGAAGACGAGGGGAAGAGAAAACCGCGAGCTTCTAGCACATTAAAATGCAGTTTAAAATGGGTTAAGTCTCTGCTGCTCTTGGATTGTTATAAATCTACGTTTTTTTTTTACTTCATTAGTCTTTTACTTAATCATGTTTCATTCTTTTACTTCAGTGAATAAAATCAATCACACAAAATCCATAGTTAAGGCTTCAAAGAAATATTGCAATGGCATATAATGTGATGCTCACAAACAATCAGGACAATTTATTTAATAAACTTTTTGCTTGACTTTAATGGAATTCTAAATGGTATTGAATAACCTGGGTTGTAAAAGAAACGGCAGAGGTTAATTTGCTGTATTTTGAGAGTGTACCACAGATAATTTCTTTGAAGGACAGCACACGAGCTGGATCTGTGGCAGATGAATATGAGAGCTGAAGTTAAGTCTGGACACATATCTCAGAAGGGTTACACAGATACACAGTCATAATCCCCTGTCCTTTCACAGATTATCCCATAATCCCATCTTTATTCTGTATTCAAATGGCCCACATTCAACACGAGCTCCTAGAACACCAAAAGTGTGACACCCTGCAGTTTTATCATGTTGCTTGCTATCTAGTTGCAATTGCTAGTGTACTTTATTTAGAAAAATTATTATTAGAATTACAAAAGAATTATTCACATACAGTTACGCCACATACAGTTGCTTTAACAAAATTATATCGAATGAATTAATGCATGCAAATTGCATATGTAATTTCATCATCCACAACACATGTGTTTTGTCTTTCTTTATTATTATTTTACTACCAAAGCAGTGTTGTAGTTTAAGGGTGTGGTGTGTTCACACTGGGCAGGTTTGGTTGATTAAAGCAGTGTTGTAGTTTAAGGGTGTGGTGTGTTCACACTGGGCTGGTTTGGTTGATTAAAGCAGTGTTGTAGTTTAAGGGTGTGGTGTGTTCACACTGGGCTGGTTTGGTTGATTAAAGCAGTGTTGTAGTTTAAGGGTGTGGTGTGTTCACACTGGGCAGGATTGGTTGATTAAAGCAGTGTTGTAGTTTAAGGGTGTGGTGTGTTCACACTGGGCTGGATTGGTTGATTAAAGCAGTGTTGTAGTTTAAGGGTGTGGTGTGTTCACACTGGGCTGGTTTTGTTGATTAAAGCAGTGTTGTAGTTTAAGGGTGTGGTGTGTTCACACTGGGCTGGTTTGGTTGATTAAAGCAGTGTTGTAGTTTAAGGGTGTGGTGTGTTCACACTGGGCTGGATTGGTTGATTAAAGCAGTGTTGTAGTTTAAGGGTGTGGTGTGTTCACACTGGGCTGGTTTTGTTGATTAAAGCTGTGTTGTAGTTTAAGGGTGTGGTGTGTTCACACTGGGCAGGTTTGGTTGATTAAAGCAGTGTTGTAGTTTAAGGGTGTGGTGTGTTCACACTGGGCAGGATTGGTTGATTAAAGCAGTGTTGTAGTTTAAGGGTGTGGTGTGTTCACACTGGGCTGGTTTGGTTGATTAAAGCAGTGTTGTAGTTTAAGGGTGTGGTGTGTTCACACTGGGCTGGTTTGGTTGATTAAAGCAGTGTTGTAGTTTAAGGGTGTGGTGTGTTCACACTGGGCAGGATTGGTTGATTAAAGCTGTGTTGTAGTTTAAGGGTGTGGTGTGTTCACACTGGGCAGGATTGGTTGATTAAAGCAGTGTTGTAGTTTAAGGGTGTGGTGTGTTCACACTGGCCAGGTTTGGTTGATTAAAGCAGTGTTGTAGTTTAAGGGTGTGGTGTGTTCACACTGGGCTGGTTTGGTTGATTAAAGCAGTGTTGTAGTTTAAGGGTGTGGTGTGTTCACACTGGGCTGGTTTGGTTGATTAAAGCAGTGTTGTAGTTTAAGGGGGCTTTTACACTGGGCTCGTTTGCTGCGGCCCGAGCGCGTTTGTTCCCGGCGTCCCCCGCAGCGTTGGTCTGGTTTCACACACAACTGGATTCTATCGAACCCTGGTGCGTTTGCGTGCATATGACGTCATCGCAAACGTGCACGGCGCATGATAGAAAACAGAACGTGGGTCAATATTGTTTTTTATTTTATTAATTCGCTGCTATTATGCGCAGTTGAGTGAACACTACAGGTTTACTGTGCGTGTGTCACATAAGGTGGCCTTCTGCTGCTTACAAACGGAATCTTTTTAGGAGACAGTGGATTTCCAACTTTGTTTCCCTGATTTCACGCGCAATGCACGAATACACTGCACGCAGGCTCACTCTCGCTCGTATCCAAGGTAAATCATCAACACTATCATCCCTTACAAGCGTTTTATTTAACTAAATACATCACAATAAGCTATAAACGCATGCGCAGGTTACTTTACTTCCTGAACAAGTGCGCACCCGAGTCCGTGTTGCTTTCACATTCACGCGAACCGCGGCACGGTTCGGGAGCAACCGAACTCAGACCACCTCCTCCAGGTAGTCTCGGGTTCGGTACCCCAGTGCGCACCCGGGTCCCATGACAGCTTTCACATTAGCGATTTTTCATGCGAACCGTGCCCCGTTCCGAACTAAACTGCCAGTGTGAAAGCCCCCTTAGGGTTGATTAAAGCAGTGTTGTAGTTTAAGGGTGTGGTGTGTTCACACTGGGCAGGATTGGTTGATTAAAGCAGTGTTGTAGTTTAAGGGTGTGGTGTGTTCACCCTGGGCTGGTTTGGTTGATTAAAGCAGTGTTGTAGTTCAAGGGTGTGGTGTGTTCACACT